AAAACTAGCTTCCAAACAGGCTCTAAGATTCAAAATTGAGACTGTGGAATACAGACGGCAATTTTGACGATTCCACAAAATTAAGTGGAGTTATTTCCACGGCTGTTTTTATGTTCTCCAAGAAAAACTGGCGTGGCCATGTCTTCGCCATCGGTAGCTTTGCTTAAAATCAATGACATATAATATAACTGCTGTTAAATTAAATAATCTTCAAGGCCATCGTCCGTAGTCGTCTTTGGAATTCCAAGCGGGGTACTTAATTTAAATTGTCACATCATGTCTGCTGCTTGAATCTTCCGCATGATTGAAAATTCAACACGGTTCTGACTGAGTCTTTATCGGCCTTTCCAACCGTACGTATTTGTGTCCCTAAGTTTTTAAATCTGACAAGGAAACTAACCAAATAGACATGTTTGGCTGGTTCTCTCCGGGTCCAAATCAAGTGTGCAAATAAGTAGTACGTAATAAGTTGATCATACGTTAAACTTTTAATCTCTCTCTCTCTCTCTTTTTTTTTTTTTTTTTTTCTTGCCAACAGGGTAACAGATTTTTTTTTTTTTAATCTCATTGAAAGAGATAAAATTGATCTTTTTTAAAGGGAAAAAAAAAAAACAAAGTATAAGTGGACAAATAGTAATCACGGTTTTGCTCATAAGCACAAAAGGCAAATCTTCAAGCTTGCAGATCTTGCTATCAGAGCCCCAGTTACAAATTTTCTTTAAGATTGCATTTGGCTCATATATATATATATATACTCCCTCCGTCCCACTTTGATAGTCCTGTTTTCCTTTTTTGTCTGTCCCAAATTGCAGTCCACTTTCCAATTGAAGAATGTAGTTGTATTTTCATTTTCCTAAAATACCCTTATTTAATACAAGTTGTTGTTGCTATAAACCTACCCCATTTAATGAGAGTTGATTCTTTTTTTACCATCAATTCAAGTTCCCATAAAGTTGTACTCTATTTAATGTGAGGGTATTTTAGGAAAATAGCAATCTAAATTTACTTTTCCAACAAAGTTAACTACTTTTTCTTAAATTGTGTGAAAAAAGAAACAGGACTGTCAAAATGGGACGGAGGGAGTATATATTTCCTTTAATTAGTTGACGTGGGGGCCGGAGGAACATTCCTCTACTAATCCTGTTCCATCAATGGGCAAGCTATACTAGTAGAGTCCTATTCCATGACAATCCTATTGTCTGAATTATTTGCAATAGGAATAAATTTGATTTTAATTACTTCAAGTCTTCAAGAAAGGGTCACTGCTTAAGTCACTCTCATAATATTCCCTCCGTACCACTTTGATAGTTCCGTTTCTTTTTTCACATAGTTTAAGAAAAAGTAGTTAACTTTGTTGAAAAAGTAAATTTAGATTACTATTTTTCTAAAATACTTTCACATTAAATATGGTACAACTTTATGAGAACTTGAATTGATGGTAAAAAAAAGAATCAACTCTCATTAAATGGGGTAGGTTTATAGTAACAACTACTTACATTGAATGAGGGTATTTTAGAAAAATTAAAATACAACTACATTCTTCAATTGAAAAGTGGACTACAATTTGGGACAGATGAAAAAGGAATACAAAACTATCAAAGTGGGACGGAGGGAGTAATTCTTATTGCATTGACCATGTGACCAATTCCATCAGAAAATGATTTACTACTATTTTTACTAAAACGAATTTGAAGAGTAAGTAAACTCTCATGTTTCTAAAGTAAGAGGTAGTAGATGACTATACTATCACGAAGCTAGCTTGCAAGCACATAATACCAAGCAAGAAAAGTACCCTTCTTTTTTTTTTTTTTAATTTTGAATTTTATTAGCTGATCCTATAAATTGATAACAACAATAAATTATAACCAGGCATAGTTAGATAAATTTGTAAAGGATTTTGCTAACTGGTGTCTAATGTGCACACTTATTAGCACATTTATTTCACACCTACCCTATTAATTATATCAATGCATATAATCTGAACTACAAATCATTTGGTTATACTCAACCGGACCAAGTGAAACCTTCGTTAGTATAATTAATGAGAACTGGTAGCTGGTATTCAGCACCATCAATTTGATGTAGTAATTCTCTGCTCCCCAGCTACTTTACTTTGGCATGAGGTGTCATTAAGTCTAAAGCAGACTAATTAGATAAGGATTGATTGCCACTTGAGCTACTTAATTTCATGACTAATAAAATCCTTGTAAGGCTGTCTTTCCAAAAAGAGTTGACGGTTTCATGCGACTTCTCATTTTTTATTGGATAATTCTATCTTAAGGAATTTTCACAGCTCAACCTTTTTATTTTATTTTTCTCGCATAAAACTAGTCTAAGATTAAGTTGATAGAACACAAGTTGTCTGGGAAATAAGGGGGGCAAGTGGATGACTATCTTATGCTTTGCTTGGATTGAAGGATTTGATAAAAGATTTAAAATCCATCCCTAATTGTTTGGATTGTCTAAGAGATATTTTTGAGTTTGTAAGTTATTAATTATTTAAATATATTTTAAAAACTAAAATAATTGGTAACTCACAAATCTAAATACCTCGTGAGTAATGTAAATAATTAGAGAAAAGTGAGAGAATTGTGATTTTTTCGTCAAATTTCTCAATTCAATTGCAGCTTTAGGATAGGTGCTGTCAAAATACAGTATCATATAATTTTGTAACTTTAAGCAGTTTAGGCCTTTAGGGATTGAATATGATGCAGTTAGTTAAGAAAACTTGGTACTGTTTTTTATATGGTTTCAGATTGCAACATTCTTGAAACCAGTTTACCATATTAAGACTAGATACTATTGGGAATGAAAACTCATAAGCATGTATATTTATCCATATCAAGTTTCAGTAAGCTTCAAGAAATATATGTCTATGTAAATTATGCAAAAATTGTAAACAACTCCCTAATTTTCTTCGACATGGTAATTACTTCAGCTTTTGACCAGGTCGTCCTTGTAAAGGGCTGGTCCAATTTTAGTACTACCACTTCTGCAATCAGTAAATAGAACTCCGAAGCCCGATCCATATAAAATTCATGAATACGACATAGCGCTTGAATTTTTGGGCAACAATGGCCTGCTGTCTCATTACCATATAAACCAAAATGTCTTCTTCAGTTTTGTCCTGGTTGTCGGACCATGAAACCCACGTTGAATGTAATTCTAAGACACAATGTTTAATCTAATACATTAAATTAGTAAAGACCAAACCATTTTTAATTTTCCAATCCCCAAGACCCAATCCAATTGGTAGGGATATGAGTCAAGTGACACGAGTTCGTGACGCTCAAACTCTCCATGTTTCCATCTCTTCTAGGATTTGGGAGTCTCCCAAGAAAAAAAGGGGTGAACTATCAGACAATAAAGACAGGTACTTGTCCCGTGGGGGTTTAACGGGACGAGAAAATCAAAGTTAGGGGATGGGTCAAGCAAAGAAAACAGGGCCGTCCTGTTTGATCACATTTCTCTATTACCTTTTTCCCTTATATATATCAAATCGCTACAGTAATTTTTCCATGAAAAATTATGAAAAATGCAATCCAAACACAACGGGCTGGAGGAGGATATTCCGCTCATCTCTAGTATCACCTATCTCTCATTTATAATTATATATATTTGTGTGCGGGTGCATGCACGTGCGCTTGCGTGTGAGTGCATTGTGACATGAATAATTTAATATTTTCTTGTGATAAAATAAAATAATATTTCTTGTTAATTTATTGCAAATAAATAATAATTTTGTTATGTTAGTGTACATTTTATTTTATTTGATGCATGGCACTGTGTGGATATGCGCGTGCACGCGCGCACACACATATATAAGGGCTACAAGAAGGGGCAAGAGATGGAGCTGCTAGACATAGGAAGAACTTTAAGATGATGAGGCGAGAGATGAGAGAGTCTTTCCCCGCCCTAAACATGCTCATTGCTATCCCTGACTATCACTCTCTCACAATGGAGTTGTGAGTATGTAAATGGCTTTAGACATCATTTATGATCGGTAAACAAAAAATTATATATATGTTTATATATATATAAATGTATAAATTAATAATAATGAATTTAGATTTTAAGTAAAATCAAATGTAGAAAAACAAATTCACAAGATCAAAATAATTTTTAAACTTTGTTTCACGTTGAATTTTTGGCTAAAAGTTCAAAAGAAAGATTTCCAAATTCATTATTGATGTTGTATGGAGTATATTTAAAAAAAAAAAAAAAAAAAAACAAAGTCAAATAAAAAAAAATAAAAATGATGGCCGCGTGAGGCGAGAACAGCCACCAGGATATTAGGGCAGATAAGGGCTGGAGGTAATAGGCTACGGGGTAAGGAATAGAGAAAGCTTTTGAAAGATGAGGCCGGCGAACGTCCCCCTCCCCAAATCCATGCCATTGCTATCATTAACTATCATTGTGAAGTTATAAGTAGGTAACTGACTTTAGACCTCCCATGGCCCAAAAAAAAAAAAAAAAGATTGAACCACAATCTCTTTTGACGCCAATAAGGTTTCTTTAATGGATAATCATTCAAAGTGGAAATAATATGAGTAATTATTTTGCAATCCGAGCCGAAACTTTGGTAGAAGATATGCTCAAAAAAAAAGTTAGAAGACGATTGCAACATATTGGATTAACTGTGAACAAAAACCGGAGCCAAAATAACCCGAACTTTTTCCTGCCAAAGAAAAAAATTATTGTCGGGAGCATCCTATACTCGTATGCTTAGTGGAAGAAGTACGAAAAAATCAGCAGTTGGGTGTTCTGGTCTGCTTAAAATCTAGTCACCAAAATAACAATCAATACCAAAACGCCTTGGACGTGATACACTCTTCACACGAGCCATGCAGATCACCTAATACAGACCAAGATTGTCACTAACTTTCGAATTTGGAGCACAGATGGTTGTCAGGTGATGTACTCTTCATGATGTGGTGTGCTTTCAATGAAAAGTAATATTAAAACATATTTTTATGAACTTTACATGTCGCGTTTCTGCTGCAATAACAGATTATTCATGGGAAATTGAATGAAGCAGTAGCCGTGGGCTTTTCTTGTCGACCAAGTCTGAAATTAATCACCCCAAGATCCCTGGCAGCTCAATATATAACTACCGAGCCTTGGGGTTATTGAATCTTATGGGAAGACAGAGATAGAGTTCCTGCAGCATAAGAGGAAAGACAAGGAAAGATGCCAGAATACTGTGTCACAGGGGGCACAGGGTTCATAGCTGCTTATCTTATAAAGTCTCTCTTGGAGAAGGGTTATACTGTGAGGACCACTGTAAGAGATCCAGGTACTTTTCTTGTTTGCAGCCAAAGTTGCTGCTTAATTTATGAAACAGTAATCAAGCTTAATTATTCTTGATCATTCCATGTCTTGGTAAGATTTTTATCAAATTGAATTGTGAACTTTCTGATTTCCATTCCACAAATCTGCTCTCTTGAAGAACAAACTATCGGGTGACAATATTAGCAGATAAAATCCTGAGGAATGTAGCTGCAATCTCCACATACACAAGTTACTTGAATATTTTGATTCATTCCATGCTTATCAAACAAACAAAAGTTAGTAAATCTGTTCATTGGCATAGTCGAGGGCAAGAAAGTTTTTAACTTTCTCTCGAGTGATCATCAGAGTTTCCTTAATTTTTTTTTTTTGGGAAGGAGGGGGTGCGGCGTGGGAGCAATCAGATAGAGTCAATAAGAGGGGAGAAGAAGGGCCTGGCTGGGGGTAGGCTTTATAGAAATAATTCTTACTGTCAATAAAATTTATATTGATTCACAAATATTGGCAGAATTTCTAGGTGCAGTTCAAGAAATTTCTGGACAGTAACAAGACTAATTTTCTTTGACAGAAAATGTGGAGAAGGTAGCATACCTTTGGGAGCTAAATGGAGCTAAGGAGAGGCTCAAGGTTCTCAAAGCTGACTTGCTCGTGGAAGGAAGCTTTGACGAGGGAATTGAGGGGGTTGATGGAGTCTTCCACACAGCGTCTCCAGTGCTTGTGCCATATGATGAAAATGTTAAGGTAAGGGATTAGAGAAACCAATAACTCTGGATGAACATCTGCAACCTGCTTTCCTCTATCAACAACATTTCTTTCTGTTACGAAAAGTAATCTTGTCTAGAACCATCTGCAATTCCTTTACTAGGAATAGTGAAGGTGCAATTCTTGATTCCACTGAATGATGAACACTCTTTGGACATTAAAAGAGGCGCACTTTGATGCAAAAAGAAAATTCACTTTGGATTTGGAATATTAGAAAGCTCATTTTTCATCCCTGGAAATGAAGTTAAGATTTGACAGAAATTTTCTTTCTCAGCAAAAGATGAAGAAATCAGTCAGGTGAAATTTAGCATTTTGGTTGATTAAAATCAGTTGAAAGAAGAAGAAAATATGTAATAAGCGACTAAATTCTACAGCCTGGTCACCAACCATGAGAATTGTGCATGGCTAAGTTGTTTAAAACAGTAGAATTGACCTCTTCTTCTCTGTTGCAGGCAAATTTAATTGATCCTTGTATAAAGGGCACCTTGAATGTGTTAACCTCTTGCAAGAAAGCAAGGAGCTGTAGAAGGGTGGTCCTAACATCTTCGTGTTCTGCAATAAGATATCGAGATGATGCTCAGCAAATTTCTCCACTTAATGAATCTCATTGGAGCGATACAGAATACTGCAAACGCTACAATGTAACAATGTTTCTAAGTGCAACTTATAACTTTTCGTGTTGAATCACAATCTTAAAGCCTAAGCAGTTGACATATATTTTGCAGCCAAAAAATTTATTTTAATATAAAAGGATCTGGTTCTTAATTAGTAACTGTATTGGTGGAATCTTCTTTCAGCTGTGGTATGCCTATGCAAAGACTATAGCAGAGAAAGAGGCTTGGAAATTTGCAGAAGAAAGTGGAATTGATCTAGTGGTGGTCAGCCCCTCTTTCGTAGTAGGTCCTTTGCTCGCACCCCAACCAACCAGTACGCTGCAAATGATATTGGCCATTGTAAAAGGTCAACACTTGAGTAGCTAATCTGTTATATAATGACATTAGAATGCTGTGTTCTATCTGATTTTGTGTGAAATGGTGGCTTACATTATCAGCTATGTCCGCTAATCTATAAATGACTGAGTTCAATTATTGATGCCATTGATCAGGTCTGATTAAAGAACACCCGAATACAACAGTAGGGTTTGTGCATATAGATGATGTCGTTGCAGCACATATATTAGCAATGGAGGAAAGCAAAGCATCAGGCAGACTGGTATGTTCAAGCTCAGTAGCTCACTGGTCCGAGATCATTGAGATGCTAAGGAACAAGTATCCAGCCTACAACTACATAAACAGGCAAGAGAAACATTTTATACTTTTCTGTCCTGTTTTTCCTCTTATGGAACTGGCATTTGTTATTTGTTTTGACTTTACTCTCTGAATCAACCAGATTTTTTCTATTGGTGCCGTAGTGTCTCTGAACTTGACCTTCTTCTTATATAGTCTTGAGTGTTTTGTTTTCCATGTTTAGGTGTAGCAACACAAAAGGAGATGATAATCCACACAGCATGGACAGCAATAAAATCATACAGCTTGGGCTCCCACCGCTGAAATCCCTTGATCAAATGTTTGAGGACTGCATCAGAAGCTTCCAAGAGAAGGGCTTCCTCTAAGATCAACCAAATCTTCTGAAACGCCCTCTCAATTCAAAGATCCTATCCGCTAGGAGTACATGTACTGATTTACCGACTGTTCTTGAATCATATTGTCCTGCTAAAACATATTTTAACCATTCAAATATATCAGTATGCCAAATAATGCTGGCCTGCGAAGCCAGGCTCTTGATCAAAATATTGTGCACGACTCAAACTTCAATCACGGCAGTGCTTGTTAAATTCCCATGCTAAAGTAATCTTCATTCAAATAAGTAATATCTTGACTGAAATAAAATCACCAGACATTCCAAAAATTCAATTCGGTAGTAATAAATGCTCTGCTATTAAACCAATTTAAAGAGGCGAGTGCCATACACGAACAGTACAGACGTAAGAAACAGCATAGGCCTTCGATTCTTGCAATATCCAAATGTCCTCCAACTTTTGCTGAATTAGCCTAATAAAAAACCACGATTATCAACAATTGGTAGGGAAAAAAAAATATAATCTGAATATTAAAGTAGGATAAAAAAAAAACTTCCAGAGGACTGAGCAATCCTTAATACTTGTCACATTTTAAGATTCTCTTGAATGAATTATTGCAGCATGGAGGGTGGTACATAAGCAATCCTTCATTACTTTCTTGACCAAAACGGGGCTTTTGCAGTATTGAAGCTCATGGAATGCAAACCTCAAAACAGGCATTTCTCAATCTTCATACAAGAGAGCAAAATGAGTTCAACATTTGTAAATTGCTACTTGGAGAGGATCGATTGCAGGTTATTCTAGCAGGCCCAAATGGTGTAAGGCCGTTAAGCGCCCCGACTTATCAAGGGGAGCCCGATGAAGAGTCTCAATTGATGAAAATTAGTGCTAATTAATTAGTTAGTGTACTAATACCCCCGTCAGCAATCTGCAGAAACACACACACACTCTCTCTACTTAAAGGGGGATCCACGACCTAATCCAAAAGGCATGCTGACTTTCAGGTTACACCAAGGACCTTAAGTAGAACACACGCACCGAAGACCTTAATTAGTTGGTGTACTAATACCCAAAAACAAGATATTATTCACCCTTTCCCATCCTCAACTGCTAGACCCAAGATTGGACCTCTACACCTAACAACGGGAAGAACTTTAAGAACTCTCTCCTGACCACCAAAATAACCCTAGTGATTTTATTAAAATACAAGTTTAATTACTCCTAAAGTATATATAAATCTCTCAGACTTAAACGGTAGTAGACTTCCTCGTATAGCTTTTTATATGCTAATATTTAGGACATGATACTATTTTTTTTTTTTTCTTTTCTAAGTTGTTGTTTTGTTAGGAGGAAGGGGATGACTTAGATGATTTGGAGGGAGGAATTATAAGTGTAAGGTCTTGGATTTAAGACCTTTCACTTAAACTAAAAAAAAAAAAAAGAGTAGGGATTTACAATTTTCTCTTTGAGTTTGAGGAAGCCGGGGGGGTTTCGGCTTTTGACCATCTCCATCACTGGCTAACAACTAGACGCAGATGGACGCATCTTATCACAGAATCATATTAGCGACTCAATTAAGTGAAACTCAAAACTGAGAGAATTCATATATATATATATATATATATATATATATATATATATATATATATGTGTGTGTGTGTGTGTGTATGTGTATATATATATATATCCGTAATCGTATGATAAGGATATTTCATCTACCTTCAAACAAGACAATAATGTCGTCAATATTATGGGTTGGACTCACAAACGTGACAACACATATAAGTTGAAACTTCTCAAAGCCCTTTGTCCATAAAATCCAATTATCCGCCATAATTATCAAACAAACAAACAAACAAAGGTATGGAGTTTGGATTTGAAAGTGATCATTAGCATTCTAATTCAAACTGCAACAATTTAGAACTATATCTACATTTTCTTCTTTTAATTTTTCTTCCCTTCAACAACTTCCTTCTTTCTTTGAAAAATGTTACCCAGGACTTTCACACTAATTGTAACATACAATGTATATTGCAATATGTAGATGTCAATACAGCAATGAAGTTAACTTTTAATGCAGATTCTTTTTTGGCACATTGATGTTTTAGTACCTACATTAATTTGTTTGGATTGTGAATTATTTATCAAATTATATCTGCTTACATCATCATTACAATTTCCAACGCACCTTTTTATCTTCCCAATTATCTTTTTATCTCACATACATCACATCACAAAAAGTGCTACAGTAAAAATATCTCAAATAATTCACAATCCAAATAATTGTTTTGTGTTAGTCCATGTATATATATATATATATTTTTTTTTTATTAAAATTTTTTTATATAAATTTGATTTTAATCACCGTTACATATCAAAAAATATGCTTACATAATCATAAATCATTTACACAGCGTCTACTAACATTTAATTTTCATATTTACGACGAGAGATTCGAGCACACAACATTTTATCAAGAAATCGTGTTGTCCTTGTCACCTAGTCAACTTGTGTTGGCGGTTCATATCCTATTTGATGCAATCACGATTGACAATAGTAAGGAACCCCAACTCGAGGCACTACAACATTTCCATTCCGTATAATTTCGAGCCCCAAAATCTCTGGCGGTGCCAGTGCCACCCCATCTGTCTCTCCGACAATAATAATACTATGTATCTAAGAAACAAGACACAAATAAAGACTAGCAAAATCGTGAGATACGATGATGGGAGCGTAATGTATTTGTATGATTCGATAATTATGCATTCGTGAGATATGATGATGGTTCAATCACTTTTCGTTGAAGGTCCATGGCCTTAATATCACCTCCTTAAAATAAATTAGAATAAGAGTAGAAGTAAAAATAGAAGTGGATGTAAACGTAGACGCAGATGATAACTATCAACCCAAAAAAAATAAAAACAGAGACGTGTCTTTCGGCCCTACTTGTAAAAGTACTTCTCCTGAGCCTTGAAGACGCTAAAATGACAAACACTTGGACAATTGTGTGTTTAAGGGCTTCAAAGTTAACGGAATGGACAATGATGTTCAACCAATAAAGACAAAAGGCAGCCAGCCTTAGATTGCGGAATTAAACTAACTTAAAAATCACTCACTCAATAATATATACATCAAAAGGGGCGGCCAAAGAGTTGCATTTCTTATCCTGCAGTACATCCGATCTAGACATCTTCCAAAACCCATGATCATTGCACATATTGATAGTGTTCTTCGACGAGTCGTGTTCTGATTGGTTGTTGATGATTACCAGCACATGCTAATTTTTACCATTTTTCCTTCATATTTTTCTGGCTCTGGTTTTAGGTATTTTAAGGGGGGGAAAAAAAATATCTTGCATCATTTTTTTTTTTTGGATAAATGTATCTATGCAATTAGAAAGCGGTTGACGAAATTATTTAGGATTTTTTAAAAACTTTGTATGTTTCTAAAGAAAACGTAATACAAAAGATTATAAATATGCATTTGAGAATTGGATCCGCAAGCAGACGGGAGAGTGAGTCGATGAAGAAAAAAGAATAAAATATGGGCAGGTGAGTGACTTAGTGGATTAGACAAAAAAAAAAAAAGAAAAAAACTCAGGGATAAATCTTTGGGGGAATATAACGTCACTTATTGGATTTGTTTTTAAGTTTTGACAACTGTTCCCTTTCTCATCACCACCTATTTCTAGAAGTGGGTTTGGGAAAGAGAAAGAAAAGCCAGAAAGAAATTGATTTTTTTTATATATATATATATAAAAAAAAAAAAAGAGAGTGTATAGCCAGCACTAGCAGAAGTGCCAAAGCACGCAGGACTGGAGCGGAGTGGAGTCAGCGTGAGCAAATAGTACGTGGCAGTAGGAAGTGGCACACAGCTAGCTCCAAAATCCACTCTCCCAACAGATAACTATCACCTTTTAACGGCCGCAAGTTGCTGATATCTTTTGCTTGGCGAAGCAACCATCGACGCCTCTCCTCTCATCATCAAAGAAATTTGGCCCACGCTTTTAGGTTTTTACCTAAAATCAGACTCTGTATTTTTTTTTTTTTTTATAGAGCTGATGAGGTAGTAGAATGAATTGGCTCAGCTCAATGGTGTAGAGATAGTAGCGACAGTGACCAGATTTTAGAGAGATTTCAGGACGATGATATTGGCCCTGGATGTTAAAAATTGGCACTTTCTTGAAAATTTTGTGATTGGAAGTTGTTTTAGCACTACTGTGTTGTTGTAGCAGCAAATAGTATCCCAAACTCAGCCAGCAGCAAAAGAGGAGAGATCCCCAGAATAAGCAGGCAGCATAAAGCAAAAGACCAGACCCCATGCTGTCCCAAAAAGCCAGCCATAATGAACGATTTTTACTGAAACGACTCCACGGTGGGAGGCAAGACACCTAGTTTTGATCGCAAATGTTGCGAATCCAATGTTAGATGCAAAAACCAACTAATAATAAATATTTCACTACTAAGCAGAGGTTCATAATCACACCTTAAACAAAGAAAGAGAGGGATTGAACAAATTCCTCGCACGGCTACAAAAACTCTCGGAGCAGAAAAAGAGAGCTTGAAAGCCCCTTGAACGGCTCCCAAATACAAAACCCCGAGCAAAAAGCTCATCCCCGAACAAGACCCTCTCTTTTTTTTTTTTTTTTTTTGGCCAGACAAACAAATAAATAAACTCGCTCGGACAAAACCATTTTTTTCCCAAAGAACTTTATACACATCCCTTGGGATTAAACTTCCTCATCAACTCCTTCCATAGATAATACTCCACTAATAACTAAATGCTATACTGCTAATAAATTAATTCCTACTACTGCAAAACTTATGCTGCAAAACTTATGGGCACACTGTGTTGATTTTCAAGAGGTGATGCTCCATTCATCAGGGCTGGCCCATCATCCATCCACGAAAAGGCTTCATTGCAAGCATCAAAGTCGAATTCGAAGTCGAAATCAGGCAAAGCACTCGGCTGATCATCTTCAAAGCCACAGATTGGTATGTCTTCAATGTCACCAATGACAAAGTCTCCAAGAGACTGTCCAAACTCCTCCTCTCCCATAAACAGAGAATTTAGCTCAAAATCCAGCTCCATTCCCTGAGCTAGTTCAGCCAATGACAACTCATCCTCCATCATTAAATCCAGATCAGGCACCTTTTGCTCAACAACTTTGGTTCCCTCAGCAACATTTTTCACCTTCTCTTCTTCATCTTG